CGGGCCCGCGGCGAGTGTCTGCCGGGAGCGGGCCGCAGCGAGGCCCGCCCTGCCCTCGGAGCACCCGGCCGGTTCGCTCCTGTCGGGGCCGGGCCGCTGCGGAACTGCAGTTGTCCGCTCTGCGGCCGCGGGCCCACTGAGCCAGAACCCTGGGTCCTGGAGGCGCTTCAGATGGACTCATTTTATTAAATGTGTTTTTTTTGGGCTTTTTTCAGAAATGTGGTGTCTTCATGATGAGAGTTGTGAGGTTGTGTTTTATATATAGTCTGTTGGGGGAGTTATATTTGGGGAGCAATCAGGATTCGAGATCAAAGCTCTAGTAATTGGATGAGTCACAGGATTTAAAATGAGAACTCGAGGCAGAAGCAGCCAGAAAGTCCCAGGGAAACTGGGCAGGTCCTTGCTTCTTAACGTATGGAGTAAATGGCTTAGAACACAAGGAGACCCTTGAGGGTATTTATTGAGTGGGTTACATTCAAATGCTGGACCCTGGGCTTCTTTAGAGAGGGGCACCCATCACTGGAGGCCAGGCAAGCCCCTGGGATTCCGGGACAGCAGCAGTGGAGTCCGGTGATGGCTCAGCTCGCTGGGCCGGCCACAGGCACCGGTGTCATCAGGCGGCGCTACTGAGCCTCGTTGAGCTGCCGTGCCACATCCAGGATGTCCTTGGCGCCTTTGCTTAGCAACAAGTTGGCCAAGCTTATGCCCAGGTTCTCCGCAGCCAACTGGGCTCCGCGGGGAATGTGCCTGGCTGTGATGCCCACCAGCTGTGGGTTGTCCTCGGCGCCATCCGACTAGGGAAGGGAAGGAGTGGGGTGTGGGCAGTGAAAGATCATGGTCTGCGGCCTCTGGTTTACTGCTCCCCTCCCCCACCCTCCAGGCTTGGTACCTGGGCAGGGACATCCACCGCGGCCTGCATGGTCTCTTGCATGCTATCAGACCCATCCAGACTCCACACGCCTCCAGTCAGGTACAGCTGGGAAAGAACACAGCTGCCTCAGCATATTCTGAGAGGAGCTTGTTTAGGAACCTGGGTACTCTGCCCTGACGCTCAGCCTCCCTCACTCACTTGGCCATCCTTCATGGCTGTGTGGACTGCTACTGGCACGCTGCAGCCTCCTTCCTGCAGAGAGAGGGTCTCCCAGTGAGCTCCAGGGGCCCAGACACACACCCGCCCCCTACACCGTGGCACACCCAAACTTCATAAAGAGCATCCACTTGCTAGTCTCCAGCCCCCTCATGGTCCAGGGTTCCACAGGCGGTGTGTGCAGGCCCTACCAAATGCCTCAGGAAGGCCCGCTCAGCAATGCAGCGCAGCAAGGTCTCCGGATCGTGCAGCGCCCCCACCAGGTCCAGGATGTCTTGGTCCTTGGCTCGGACTTCAACACCCAGGGCCCCCTGATGGAAACAAGAGTAGCCCAGGACATCAGGCCCTATCTTTCCTCAGCCAGTGGGGCCATCCATCCTGCCTGCTCCCCAGAGACCTGGGCCAGTGACCTCCCAGTCTATGCACCCCACCCCACTCCCCAACCTAGAATGTCTACTCTGGGGGAAGCAATGCAGAAATTGTGATATCAACTAATTGGTTAAACAAAAGGAAGGATCTTCAATGTGCTGTCTTTCCCAGGTCCCACATACCTGGCCCACAGCGTACATGCATTCCTCAGGGCGCAGAATCTGCAAGAGCAGAAGAGGGGATGGGGCTTCTAATCATACAGGACACGGGCCGGAAAAAGTGGGAGCCGGGCCTCTGATCCCCAACCTTCCTGATCTGGGACTTGTTTTCCAGCTTGTGTCAGAGACAGTATCCAAGAGGGCAGGAAAAAATGACGAAGTGGGGAGTGAGGAGGCAGTGCCTACCTGTCCCACCCGGCTCTGCCAACCCATGCGCTGCAGGCCAGCCGCGGCCAGGATGATGGCGCTGAACTCCTGCTGCTCATCCAGCTTCCGGAGCCTGGTGTTGAGGTTTCCCCTCTGGGCAAGAGGCTAAGGACCACCCATGTTGGGCAGAGGGAACTGGACAGAGGGGCCCCTCGGCTGTCCCCTCTGCCTGGAACAGTCTTTCCCTGTCTTATCAAGATCTCGCCTTAATAACAGCTAACACCTGCACCCACTACAGAGCAGACACTGTTCTAAAGCGTCGTGCCGATTGTGTCTTTGCACATGACGCGCCCCTGTAGATGCCATGCAAACAGTCCCAGTGCTGTCAGGGTTACTTGATGGGCTGCTACCTGCAAGTTCAGCATTTGGAAACCACCAGCCCCTCAGGAGAAAGAGGAGGCCTTCTATTCCAATAAAGAGCTGCGGTCTCGGGAGCCCTGAGGGCCAGGTCTACTCTGTCCCACAGGGGTCGCTATGAGTCGGCTCTGACTGGATGGCAGTGAGTGTTTTTGGAGGGGTTCACAACATGCATGCACATACAGTGTATATAATGCCCATAGGAAATGAATGCACAGGGCTCATACAGTTGGCAAAAAGCAGCACTACATTGGGTAAAAAAAAAAAATACTATAAGAATTGGCATATTGGCTGGCCCCAATCCTAACTACGCAGACAGCCCCCCTCTCCCTGCAGAAGAATTCACTTCAGAGGACAGCACTGAAGCTACAGCTCAGGGAGGGACATGTCTGATCAGCGCACACAGGAGCAAATGAAGTGAGGAAGAAAGAGTGGAGCCCATCCTGACCCACCAAGCCTTGAAGACGACATTCCCGCTCAGAGAAGCCAAAGCACAGAGAGGACCAGAGGGCCATCTCTACTACGAGACACGACATCCCTCACTGACCCATAGCCCTATGGGGACAACACTGGAGAACTAGGAGGCAAAGGGCATTTACAGAGGTCTAAATAAAGGCATGTACATATGTAAACAGTTATATATGATGATGGGGAAATAGATCTATGTACATATATCTATAGGTTTAGTATTAAAGAAGCAGATGGACATTGAGCCTCTACTCAAGTACTTCCTCAATGCAAGAACACTTTGTTTTATTAAACTGGCATTCCATGATGCTCACCATTCCTACACGATCGCTGAAGACAAAATGGGTGCACAAGCAAAAGTGGTGGAGAAAGTTGATGGTGCCTGGCTATCAAAAGATATAGCGTCTGAGGTCTTAAAGATAAGCAAGTGTACATCTAGCTGAGAAGCAACAAAGCCCACATGGAAGAACCATACCAGCCTGTGTGATCACTATGTGTCCATAAGATCAGGCAACAGGCATCAAAGAACAAAAAATCTTACCATTGTGAATGAGAGGGAATGTGGAGTGGAGACCCAAAGCCCATCTGCAGGCAACTGGACATTCCCTTACAGAAGGGTCTCAGGGAGGAGACGAGCCAGGCAGGGTGCAGTATAGCACTGATGAAGCATACAACTTTCCTCTAGTTCTTTAATGCTTCCTCCCCCCACTATCATGATCTCAATTCTAACTCACAAATCTGGCTAGACCAGAGGATGTACACTCGTACAGACAAGAGCTGGAAACACAGGGAATCCAGGGCAGATAAACCTCTCAGAAGCAAAAATGAGAGTATTGATACCAGGAGAGTAAGGGAAAGGTGGAAGAGTAAGGGGGAAACCGATTACAATGAGCTACATATAACCCCCTCCCAGGGGGACGGACAACAGAAAAGTGGGTGGAGGGAGAAATCGCACAGTGTAAGACATGAAAAAATAATAATTTATAACTTATCAAGGGTTCATGAGGGAGGGAGAGTTGGGGAGGGAGGGGGTAAAAAGGAGGAGCTGATACCAGGAGCTCAAGTAGAAAGGAAATGTTTTGAGAATGATGATGGCAACAAATGTACAAATGTGCTTAACACAATGGATGGATGGATGGATTGTGATCAGTGACACGAGGCCCCAATAAAATGATTTATATATCTTTAAAAAGGCATATTAATTCATCTAATTTTCACCAGGAGTTCTGGTGACGGTGTGGGTTAGGTGCTGGTGCTAACCATTTAGGTCAGAGTTTTAAACCCACTGGGCACACCTCGGGACAAAGCTGTCTGCTCCCATACAGGTTGACAGTCTTGAAAACCCTATATAGGTCACTATGAGCTGGAATGAGCTCGATGGCTGGGGGTGTTGGGTTTTTTATGGTTGGTTTGTTTTTAATGTAGATATTAGCCCCAATTTACAGATGATAAAAATGAGATGCAGAGGGTTAAATAAGTTTCTCAAGGTCACAAGAGCTGCGAGAAGTCTTTCCTGACCCCTAAGCTTGTTTAAATATTCCTGCTCGAGGCTTCTAGCGCATTCCCTACTTCTTCCACTGGAGCAGTTAATTTTGAAATTAGTTTTCACACACACACACACACACACACACACACACACACACACACACACACACAACCAAAAAAGAAACTAGTTTTCACAAACACACTATATGATATAGAAGCGAAAACAACGGAACAGCATAGAAAATAGCAACGGCAGTACCTCTGCCCCAGCACTCACTGCTCAGAAGTCCTCTGTACTATCAATGCCTGCCTTGTTGGTCGTCTCCCTCACGGAAACGTAGCTCGCCCTACACAGGCCCAATGTTATCTTGCTCACCCTTGTCCCGTGCCAAGCTCTTGGCTAGGGCTAAGAAAACCTTCAAGGACGGTGAGTACGTGGACTGGTGGATGGAAAGGCTGACAGCCCACTTCTCCACGGGAGCCCCTTCCCCACTCAGGAATTCCAGGGTCCTCTGGACCTTGTCTTCCTCCCCGACACCTCTTCTTAAAAGGATACAATGCTCTTGAACTCCAGGTGTGGGAATTTTCGATGCAGCTGGGCGGCTCTGCGGAGGGAGCTAGTTCCTACCACGCTGCTCCGACAGAAGGGGTTTAGAATGAGAGTCAACACCAGGCAGGTGCTCCTCTTCCCACCCCTTGACCAGGGCATCTCTCCAGACCCCACTCACCTCCGCTCCGGCAAGGTTTCTAGGGTCTTCCCAACAAATTTTGGGTGGAAGACAACAGCATCATAGGGGATCTCCCGCCTGGGGGTGGAGGGAAGGACAGAGAATGAGGGATCAATCAAGAATGACCCTAATTCCCTCCTAGTAGCCAACTAGCTGGGACCCCTCAGGGGCACAAGTGTTTCAAGGCATGGTGACTGGCTGAAACACTGGTGCTCTGATCCCACCCTGAGGCACCTTGGAAGGGCCTGGCTATGGACTTCAGCAAGGTCACAGCCCAGAAAACCCTGTGGAGCACAGGTCTGTCCCCTCTGATACCCAGCAGCCACAAACAGCAGTCAACTAACTGGCTTCTCCTGAGTTTTCAGCTGTGATCACCACCACGTAGGGCACGGAAGACAAGCCGAGAGGCAGAAGGCCAAGCCCCCAAGGGAGAAGGGAAGATGACCACGCTGCCTACCAGGTGCCCAGGTCCCCTTCCTCGTAGAACTCTTACTTGCAGATTGCTCCAATGGTGAAGCCAGGGGGCAGCACGGTGGGTAAGTCCTTCAGGGAGTGAACAACCAGGTCCACTCTAGCGATGGGAGAGGGAAGGAGAGAAAGGGTCTGAGCAGCAGGCCCCCACCCCCTTCTTACTTATTCCTGACTCTAATCCCAAGACAGAGCTCAGGGTGAGTCAGGAAGCAGGCCTTCCCCAAACTGCAGACCCCTGGGTCCTGCCCTCCAGCCTTGCCCTTGAGGCAGCCAGCCAGATGGCGACTTTTCTGAAGCCTGCAAACACCCACTCAAGTCCCTCCAGCCTCTCCAAGGGCTCACATCCAGCAGGAGCTTGCACCCGGGTCCGGAGAGCCCCGGGCTCTCTACAAGTCTCTGGGTGCGCCCCAGGCTCTCGGCCTCTCACTTACTCGTTCTTCTCTAGGGCGTGTTCCAGCTCCTTGGTAAACAGGCTTTTCTCCCCAATCTGCTGGGCAAGAAGGAGGCAGAGTGAAGGACTGGGAGAAAGGAGACACCGGAGGCGGGGGTAGGAAGGCTGGTTAAGCTGTGGTTACCTTGGAGAGGGCAATATCAAGAATCTTGTCCCCAGTGGTGGACATGGCAACTGGGGAGAGAACCAATCAATCAATCAATCAATCAATCTAGCACCTCTGGGGCCCCCTGTGTGCCCAGAACGGTGGGCACAGAAGTACAGAAGGCCCAGGCCCTGCCCTTGGGAAGTATGGTCAAGCAGATAGGATGGGCACATTGATCCCTAACAGACTGCGCTAACTTCCAGGCTGGCCTGGGAGCCAGAGCTGGAGAGGTTCAGAGGAGGAAAGAGCCCCCCAAACTGGGGCAGCCAGAAAGCGCTCTCAGAGCCAAGCTTCTGTTACCAGCAAAGCCAGAAAGGTGTGTTCTCCCTCCCGAGGCCCCAGGCTTCCCGTCAACACCGCTGCTTCCCAGAGGACTCACTGATTTCAAATTGCAGGCCGGGATATAAGGTTTTCAACGATGCCACCACGCTGTCTGTCTGTATGTGAGCCAGCTGTGGGCAGACATTTGGATGAGTCCTGATCTCCCCTGGTCCTCGCCCCAGGCTTGAGCCCCGGCAGGGAGAGGGAGATTCTGGAGGGATCCGGCTTCACACTGGGGCTGTGCGTTCCACAGAATGCGCCCGCTGCTCCTCCAAGGGTCTGATGCAGACACCCCTCCCTTCATCCCGGAGCTGCTGTGAACTTATCCTCCGGGCACACCTCCTCACCCCTCCACTGGACTCACCTGGCTCTTACGGGTCCCCACTCGAATCACTCTCATCTTTGGGTTGTTGTCTTCCTGCCAAAAAATACCCCAAACGGTTTGTTCTTTTTGTTCCTTAAGCCCTCTGCCAAGAGCCAGAATCCTGGCTTGGGAGAACGGGAGCTCAGTGCTTGCCCGTGGCCAGCTATGCCTCTGAGCGGAGAAAGAGCTCAAGACTGGGCTCCTCGCCCTCCTCCGAGCGGGATGCGGGCACCAGAGGGACGTGATGGCTGCTGCAGTAACCAGGGCTCCGGGACCAAGGCAGTTCTTGGTGGGAGTGCTGCTCACGGTCAGGTGGACGCACAGATAAGGCCCATCAGTCTGGCCACAGGGAGGGTGGGGTCTGCGGAGGGCAAGGACAGGGGGCTGGGGCTGCACAGGGGAGCTGGTGCTGAGTCACTGGAGGGACAGCCAGACATGCATATCTGAGAGGGATCCGAGGGCTACCACAATAAGGGCCCTTCCGTCTGGCAGGAAGGCACACAGTGGTGTGTGGTGCAAACAGTTACCAGGCTCTGCTAACCAAAGCGCTGGTGGCTCAAGCCTACCTCAGGAGAAAGGTCTAGAGACCTACTTCTGAAAAATAAGCCGCTGAAATCCCTGTCCTGCACAGTTCTCCTCTGACTCCCAGGGACTGGCTCCCCACCACTCAGCATGGCCTGAGGGCCTCAGGGCAATGGGGCTCATTTCCCCACCAGATGTGACTTGCAGGTCCAGCAGCTTCGTAAGCTGGCACACAGCATTCCAGCTGGATCTGTGTGCTCGTTGTAACATGGTTTGACAGATTCAAATCAATGCCTCGAATGTTCCCCAAGACCGAGAGGCCAGGCTGCCTAACACCCAGCCCTGTCACACCTCCTCAGATCTCACCAACAAGGAAGTGGCACAACTGTGCCAAGGACTCCAAGGAAAACGCCTCTTCCTCTGGCCAGGGCACCTTGGGCAAGGGGCTCGGTGCCCAGCAGGTAGCACTGGGCTCCATGGTCCCAGGCAGATGTCCTATTTCCTCCTGGGTCCACTTTCAACTCCCCCTGTCCTGGGGCCTTGCCCTTTCTCATACTTGGTTGCAGCTCGGGAAATGAACCTAGCATCCCAGACCTGCTAGAGCGACAAGCTTTTATGCTCGGTGGCTCCACCCCTCACATTTTAGTCAAAATGCTCCATTAAGAAAGGAGCTCCAATTGGAAAGTGAGTTCTGAGAATGATGAGGGCAGAATGCATAAGTGTGCTTTACACAATTGATGTATGTGTGGATTGTGATAAGAGTTGTAGGAGCCCCAATAAAATGATTTTTTTTAAAAAGGAGCATTTACTGAGCACTTGGTAAGTTCCGGAGCCAGGGTGCAAAACCAATAGGTTGGCAGGAAAAAGGCATGGCAGTTACTTCCGTAAAGATTTAGGGCCTGGCAACCCCCCTGGGGCCCTTCTACTCTACCCCCAGGCTCCATGTCATGCCAGTCTCCAAGGCAGTGGGTTGGTTTGTATGTTATTTTAATGAGTTTGGAAGGAATCCTAACCCCCAGGGCATGCATCTCTGCTCACCTGCCCTTGTATTAGGATACTAAATCAAACACACTGCCATCAGGTCAATCCTGACTCACAGCGACCCCTATGAGAGGACAGAACTGCCCCTGTGGGTTTCACAGACCACAACTGTTTATGGGAGTAGAAAGCCTCATTTTTTTCCTGCGGGGCTGGTGGTGGTTTCCAACTGCCGACCTTACAGACTGCAGTCCAATGCAGAGCCACCAGGGCTCCTCTTACGGTATGAACAAGACTAAATCTCAAGTATGACTTACGGGGAACATTTATTAAGTCTGAAACAGAGCAGGGACAAGGCAAAGACACATCATTCAGATGACGGAGCCCATGACCACGAGGTCATATGAGGTCCACGGGTTTATAGAGCCTGAGACAAGGAAGGGCACGGAGCTATCACAAAGGCATGATTGGCAGCAGATCAATACACCAAAGGTGGGCCTCCAGAAGTAGGAAGGGGACCATGATTGGGACATGTACATTATGTAAGGCAGAAGAGCTCATAAGCGTGATCCAGGACCACCTGACCAAATTTTCAACGTGCACACACAACACACACAGGACAAGTGCCTGTGGCAGCCTGCTCCTCCCAGGCAGGGAGCTCCTCCACTTTCTAAGGCACTCTGCCTGAGTGCAAGAGTGTTCACAACCCTGGCTAAAGGTCAGAAGGAATTCCCTGGAGACTTAGTCACTTGCCATTGGCTGGGCTTTTGTGTTTTTCCAGTTATCCACAAAGTACCGGTGCTCAGCACCATTTAGTACAGTACACAATTAGCAAATTCTGGCCCTGAGTGGGGAAGGGACTGGCTCGGGGTTACACAGAATGTTGGCAGAAAGCTCAGGGTAGAATCCAGGTTTTCCTGTTCCTAATTCAAGGCCCTTGAAAGGTCGGCACTGACAGCAAAACCACTTAGCAGCGTGCTGGAGAGCGAGCGATAAGCAGCCGCTCCCCCTCTTTCTTATCTCAGGCTGACAGTCGCCTCCAGGGACTGCGTAGTCTAAATCGGCACCAGCCCAGAGTTCAGAGCTGGCTGGGCAGCCCCATGGGCCTCCCCACCCACAGTAGTAGCCCAATGGCGTGGCAGGGCCCGAGTGAGCTTGGGCTCAAAACAAAACCAAGCCACTTGCTACGGAGTCAAACCGGAGAGACGGGCAGCGCCCCGAGTGTCGGATGGAGTCGCGCCTCGGGGTGGACGGGAACTGACAACGGTAACGGAAAGCTGGCCGAATGGTGGGCACACTTCTTCCATGTCTGCGTGATGTCGTGAGGAGGCTGGCCAGGTGCGCTCCGTCTTCCGAAAAGCACCCCTGCCGCTGACGGGCAAACTTTTCCCGAGGATGACTAAGTCACTGATCTAGACAGAGTGCTGGGACTCAGACACAGCAGGAATCCCACCTGGATCACCGCAGAAACCGGGGCTCATTGGAAACGTTCCCTCAGCGTCCCTCACGACCCTATGAGCGACTGATCGATCCCATCCCCCCGCCCCTTCCTAATGGGAGCCGCTACTGGCCCTTTAAGAGCTAGCCGGATTGTGGGAGAAAGGAAGTGACGTAGAGCCGTTCCGACCAATAGAAGACGGAGGATGGCAACCTAGGGGCCAATCGCTGCCTCCCTGGCTCGCAGCCAGCGCTGTGAGCGTCCGCGCTGGGAACTCACCGCGGTGGCAGCCGAGGGCCCGTTCCCAGCCATGGCTGGGCTGGAGAAGTAGGCCGGGCGCGTCATTAATGTCCTCGGGGACCTAGGGCAGCCAGAGGGCCCGGCCGGCCGGCACTGGGGCACGTGGCCGGAGCGCTCCCTACAAACCCCGACTTCCAAGATCAGCGCAGGGCTCGCGTCACTTCCGGCCCTCCCTTGAGAGGCAGTCCTTCCCTTAGGGCGGTGATTAGAAGGGTTGCGACAGACTAGACGTTGACCCGCCAGGGTACCTGCCCTCCGCGCCTGGCTGACTCGGCTGGGCAGTTCCCTTGTGCCTCAGGCCTGCTTTGAGACCTCAATCTCCCACCCATTTTTGAGGAATACAGGTGGTCACTGGTTAAGACGTTTCCCACGGGTTTATCCACGCACTGACCGCAACCGTCCGTTCTTCCAACAACTCAAAAAAACTGCCATCGAGTCGATTCCGACTCATCCCAGCGGCTGAGGTTTCAAGACTGTTGACTCTTTAGGAGAATAGAAAGCTTCCTTTCTCTTGCATTGGGGCTGGTGGCTTTGCACTGCCGAACTTGCAGTTAGCAGCCCAACACTTAATCACTACCAGGGCTCTTGACAATTTTCCAAGGAGAGCCAATTAAGCAACAGCCCAAGACCCACTGCTGTCTCGAGTTGATTATAATCCATACGCAACCCAACAGGAAAGAATATATGTTTCTTAGGGTTTCTGAAACAGCAGAAGGTGCCATCTCTTCCGCTCCAGGCCAGTGTTCAAACCTCTGACCTGTTGCTCCCAGTCCCCACACTTCACCCCCTGCAGCACCAGATCTCCTTGCCATGCCAAAGGAGGATGCATTAACCCCAAAGGGCTGGGTTACAGGAGAGTAAATACATAATCGTCTAGAAACCAGATTCTAAAGTGGTTGGGCGGGGAGTTATGCTTTGGGGGCAGGAAGCTTATGGTGATGAGTGGAATGATGGGAAATTTGGGGAGGGAAGACAGTGAAGACAGTTGCACAGCTTGGTTATCAATGCCACGGAACTTCACATGTACTATTTGTTGAGATGGTGTATGTTTTATGTGCATTTTCACAACTGGGAAAAAAGTGAGGAAAAGGCTCTTGCGCAGGTCACCCAACATGGCCCCTAAGCTGGACTCGTTTTCCTGCGTGATAGAGGTATACCAGGGGGTTTTGGAGGGCTATTTTTTTTTTTTTTCAGAAGTAGACTTTCTTCCACAGCATACCTGAGACTCTAAACCTCTGACCTTTAGGTTGGCAGGCAAACATACCCACCATCTACACCACTGAGGTCTCTTCCAGAACGCTCGCTGTGCACAATCCTTCCCCCTGGCTGTGGAAGGGGCTGCTTTTGTGGCACCTCGCCTCGATTTGTTCTCTCAGCTTTGCTCCAGAGTGGAAGTAGCAACTTGTCTATTGTTAAAATGAGGGACCATGTTCAGAGGTTAAGTGTCATGCCGGAAGACAAGGACTTCAAAGTGGCTGTGCCAAGATGGTATTGTTACAGGGGCTGGCCTCTGTAGAAGTGCTTTCTCTGTCAACACACAATCGCCTGTATGAAGTCCCCATGTGCTAACCACGGGACATCCTTTGTGAAGACCGCTGTACAAGGTTGTATGTTAGAACCCCTAATTCACAGATGGAAAAACTGAGGTTGAGAGCAGGTAAGGGTTTCGCCTTTTGAGTCAAACAGCAAACTCAAGCCAGGCCAGCTCCTGCCATTGTATTCTGCGGCACTACCAAATGCCTCCGTTTGGTTTGACACAAACCACCATGTCCCTGTTACTGCCTTCCATGGACTCCATCCCACTGGGGCAACTTCCTGACCTAGTCTAACCCAAATCCCACAGACACCTAGCAGCACAAACTGCAGCTAACAACTTCGAGGAAGGAAACTCATTTCAATAAAGGACCTTTTAGCCAGCTGATAAGGAGCCCAAGTGGTGCAGTTAAGTTTTGGGCAATCAGAAGGTTGGTGGCTCAAACCTACAAGCTGTTCTGCTAGCGAAAGATTACGCAGACAGCTTCCACAGGGAAGTGGTTCTCGACCTTCCTAATGCCATGACCCTTTAATACAGTTCCTCATGTTGTGGTGAACCCCCAACCCTAAAATTATTTTTGTTGCTACTTCATCACTAATTTTGCTACTGTTATAAATCGGGCGGCCCCTTTGAAAGGGTGATTCAACCCCCAAAGGGGTCTCAACCCACAGGTTGAGAACTGCTGCCAGAGATTTACAGCCTGGGAAAGCCTACGGAGCAGCTCTGTTCCATCAGGCACTGTCAGAATCACCTCGATGGCAGTGGGTTTGGTTCACCTGTTTGTTACTGGTACGGAACACAGCAAGACACAACCTACCCAGTATGGGAAAGAGGCCGAGTCACATGACCTTCCAGCAAGGGACGGGGGACTTCTTCCCACTTCCTTCTGTGGGAAGGCAAGTGGAACCTAGCAGGACAGAGGGAATGGAGTACATTATGAGTGGTTAAGAATCACCACAAGGCCCCCAGCATAAATCCTTTAGCCCCGAATCATTATATTCTTTTATTTATAGCCTTGGGAGCAGGGACCCAAGCACAGCCTGGTGTTCTAAGACAGGGAGTACAGCAGCGACTGTCCGCACTCGGGGTAAGGGGGGGTGCCCTCCCTGCTAATCTGGTGTCACCTACATGGCTCAGAATGGTCAAGCATCGCGGGCAGCCTGAACAGGGAGCTGGCAAAGGAAGTGCCTGTTCGTCCTGAAGCTAAGGAGTCCAATCAAGTGAGGTCCTGGCCCAGCCGTCTGCCTCCACCGTGAACACACCCCTCCCCACGGGCTGCTTAAGTGCCCCGCTTGGAGGGCAGGAGCAGGTCCCGCTGCAGCCCAGCCTCCAGGCTTGAGGGCAGTTTGGCTGTGGGAGGGTCTGTCAGCAGAGTCAACTTGTTGAAAACACCACGGCCAAAGTAGTCGGCAATCACAGAGAAGCTGTCATTAGAGCACTTGAGCTGCAGGGAAGAGGCGGGGAAGTCAGAGTCAAGAACTCAGGTGTTCATTTCCGAAACGATCCCCCCCCCACCACCACCACCACCACCACGGCCCCCTCAGCCCACCTGGTGCTGGAACTGGTCATGGAGGTCTCGTTTCTGTTCCTGGGCCCGGATCATATCCATGACCTTCCGGTTTTCAGGGAGACAGGTGGGGCAGTCGGCATCGCTTTCTGAGTAGCTCTCAAAGCAGTGCTGGTGGAAGGAGTGGCCGCACAGGAAGTGGACTGAGGGCAGCTCCAGGGCACTGTTGCAGATGCTGCACTTGGTCTTCTGGAAGATCTTAGGACTGGAGGCAGAGAGGCCAACCGTGAGGGAAGGGCCAGGAGCCAAGTGGGGAGAGAAGGCGGCTGGGGGCAATGCGACCAGGTCCCCCAAGATGGTTTAGTGAAGAGTACGTATAATCCTGCAGCTGTGGGGTCGAGGAGTAGATGGACAGTTAGGGCCACGAGCCCTGTCTTACCACCCCGAGGGGGGTCCATGAGTCCAAAGAATCTCCGCATGCTCACCGCCAAGTACAAGGAGCCCCGAGGGACGGAGTTCTCGCTCTCTTGTCTCAAGGACCATTCAATTGTCTTTTGGGTCTTTACTCAGGTGTGACCCTTTCAAGAGGCCTGTCCTGGGTTTTGTGTTTTCAGTCAGTAATAACTCTCACCACACACTCCTCCTCCCATTCTCTTCCCCACCCATGTTCTGTCTCTTTAGAAGTCATCACTGAGGCGCGCCTCTGGGTGTTTACACCACTCAGGGCTCCTTCTGTCTCCAGCAATTACTTCTAATATCCACTTTCTGCATTCGCCAAACAGGATTTTCTACTTCAGAATGGCTTCCCACCACCACACAGATGTGCACGTACAGGGTAAAAGGAAGGAAAACACACAGAGGACAGCGCCTGCTACAAGATGCCCTCCAAAGCCCAACAAATGACGGCCTCCTTAACCAACCAGTGTCCGGACTTCCTCCACTGAAATAAATCGGCCAGAGCGGAGATGCTCAGAGGAGTCAATACTACGGCCTGGCAGAGTACGTAGGCGCCCCGGTGGCGTAGTGGTTGTGTTTAGCTGTGACCCCTAACTCCTGCAGCTGCTCCGGGGGAGAAAGGGCTTCCTACTCCTGTTAAAAGGTAACAGTCTCGGAAACTCACAGAGCAGTCCTCCTCCGTCCAGCAGGGCCACAAAGCCGGCACTGACTGGATGGCAACGTTTGGGTTTGGAGAAGAGTACGTACCATTCCTGCAACTGCGGAGTGGAGGAGTAGATGCTTGGAGAGACCGACAGACTGAGGATACTGAATGGGAGTATGCTCATGAATATGCATCTGTGTGACACAGGACCCTTGTGTATGTGTGTACACTCTTACTGCCAATAGATCCCTGAATGTGGTGGAGCAGACAGGTGCAACATTAGGGAAATGCCCTATGGATAACCAAACACAGAGAGAACGCATTGCTGGGCCTAGAGGGTCAGGCCCACCGTCCCAGGGATACCAAGATCAACCAGCATAGGAATAACAACTGTCCACAAAGACAGAACTTTACATTCTGGTTTGGTTACGTAGCAACTGGGGTATTTGAAGCTCATGAGCAATCAAACTAAGGTACAACTCTTGTCTCCCGGAGCAGAGTGAGAAAACTCAAACACATGGAGACAGTCCAATGGACTAGTGGACCACTGCAACGTCAGTCTCCAGACCCTGAGAGCAGCACTAAAGGGTGCCTGGCTCCCACGCCAGCTGCTCTGAAGAGGATCACATTCGAAGGTCCTGGAAGGGGGAAGGAAGTGTGGAACAGAACTCCAGATCACAAGAGAGACCAGGCTTACTAGTTGGATCGAGACTGGCGGAACCTCCAAGACTAAGGTCTAGAAACCAGCTCACCCCATGTTGGCATCACCCACCATTAAGATCAAAAGGGCGGCATGTACCCAA